GGGTGGGTGTCACCGGGGTGGGGGTGGGGGGGGTCCCCTCTGCCACCAGCCCTCGGGTTGAGCAGTAATTGAAGCCTTTGCGGAAGGAGGTAACGGAAACTGCAGTCACATGGAGCTGAGAGCCTGGCCGGGCTCGGCACAACCAGCGGGGTCGTGCCGTCACACACAGCTCCTGGGGAGGAGCAGGAAGATGGGGGGCCAGGCAGATACAGGGGGGGTCTCAAGGGGAATCAGCCCCTGCCACGGGTCACACAGCTCCCTGCTCTTCTGCTGCTCCCCAGGACCAGGCAGCCCTTGCAGCCTGGCTTGCACAGCTCCAGGAGGAAAAGCCCTGCAAGGGGGTTGGGTAGCAGAGGTGGTGACTTTTTGAGGGGTTTTGGCTGCAGAGCCGTGTTGCCCACCCTGCTGGAGCTGGAGAAGAGGAACTGTCTGGGCAGCACCCCCTGCAGGGCACCTCAGCGAGAGGACAAGGGGGAAGGGATGAAAACTGAGGGAGAGGAGACTGAGGTGAGATATGAGGAAGAAATTGTGGAGTGTGAGGGTGGTGAGAGCCTGGCCCAGGTTGCCCAGGGAAGCTGTGGCTGCCCCATCCCTGGCAGTGTTGAAGGGCAGGTTGGATGGGGCTTGGAGCAGCCTGGGCTGGTGGGAGGTGTCCCTGCCCATGCAGGGGGGTGGATCTGAAGGTCCCTTCCAACCCAAACCAGTCTGGGATTCTATGATATTCCCAGTGTGTCCCCCTAGTTCCCTGCTTGCCCCCAGAGCCCAGCACAGGGGCTTTGACAGGAGCCAAGGGATGAACTTCCCACAGGGGAAGAAGAAGGTGTTGTTATTTCCCTTTGCATCCCAAGCTGAGCTTGAACGTGTCCCCAGGTGTGGAGTCCTCACTGGCAGACACTATCACCCAGCCCCTTATGTTGTTCAGGTGAGACTCAGGATGCTCAGATCCCACAGAGCTTGGAGTCTCCTGGGGCTGCTCGGGATTTCAGCAAACCCAGCACCCAGGGTAAAAATCAGAGCCAGAGGGACCTCCCAACTCCCAATCCCAGGGACATCACAGCCTGGGGCACCCCCACCTGCCAGACCAAGTGGTCCCCAAACTCCTGCAGCCAGCACAGACACCTGAGGAGATATTTTTTTCTGCCTTCACTCTGAATTTCATTTCTTCTCTGGAAGAAGATTGAGCTTCTCCCATCTCAGTCAGTCAAAAAAAAGCCCCCCAAAAAAGCCCTTTGGTTTCATTTCCTCCATTTTCAAGGAAGTTTGAAGTGTAAAAGTCAAGAAGAAAAAGAGAGAACCACTCCTCATGCAAGTGAAATGGAGCAGATGGCAGAAGCTCTGCAGCAGGGCAAAATTCCCATCGTGTTACTCGAGGTCACATGCAGGGTGAGACCAGCCCACCATCCCAAACTCCCTCCTCATCCCCAAAACCCTGCCACAAGCCCAACAGCACCAAGGCCACTCACCTGATGTTTGGAGAGCCAGAAGCCAGCAAAGATTTACTCCAGAGCAGGGAAGTCCCGAACCCATAAACCTCAAGTTTCCTCACTGGTGTCAAAACTCCCCTCTTTGGTGATCTGGAGACTCCTGGGGGACCTTCTGATCCTTTCTCTGGTGCCACCAAACAAGGTGATGACCCAAGGGTCAAACCAGCTTCCTCCCTGCAGCCCAGGAGGAGGTGGGAAAGCAAATATGCTTCATGCCCTGCTCAGAAGAAAGGCAGAAATAGGTCTTAGTAGGAAGCAAAACCATGTTTCCGAGAACACAGACCCATGTGGGAAGGGAAGAGGGGAGCTGGTCAGCAGCTCAGCCACAGCAGCTTTCCAGGCCTTGTCACCAGGGATGGAGGCTGTGCCCCAGGTCCCCTCCTGCAGGCAGGGCCAGCCAGGCAGCTCTGGCACTGCAGTCCCCACACAGTGAATCACAGAATCATCACAGAGTGGTTTGGGTTGGAAGGGACCTTCAAGATCATCCAGTCCCACTCCCCCTGCATGGGCAGGGACACCTCCCACCAGCCCAGGCTGCTCCAAGCCCCATCCAACCTGCCCTTCAACACTGCCAGGGATGGGGCAGCCAGAGCTTCCCTGGGCAACCTGGGCCAGGCTCTCACCACCCTCACACTCCACAATTCCCTCCTCATGTCTCTCCTCAATCTCCCCTCTGCCAGTTTTCATCCCTTCCCCCTTGTCCTCTCCCTCCCTGCCCTTGTCCCAAGTCCCTCTCCAGCTTTCCTGGAGCCCCTTCAGGCACTGGAATGTGCTCTAAGGTCTCCCTGGAGCCTTCTCATTTCCTCCTCATGTCCAGCCTCAATCTCCCCTCTTCCAGTTTTAACCCATTCCCCCTTGTCCTCTGGCTACAAACCCTTGCTCAAAGCCCTCCTTCGTCTCCCCTGTCCCCATCTGACAGGGTGTGAGATGTCAATGAGGAGGAAGTGGCATCGCAGGAGCCGCAAAGCTGAGCTCACTTCCCCTGCATCACCCCCAGCCCAGGAGGAGGTGGGAAAGCAAATATGCTTCATGCCCTGCTCAGAAGAAAGGCAGAAATATGTCTTAGTAGGAAGCAAAACCACGTTTCAGAGAACACAGACCCATGTGGGAAGGGAAGAGGGGAGCTGGTCAGCAGCTCAGCCACAGCAGCTTTCCAGGCCTTGTCACCAGGGATGGAGGCTGTGCCCCAGGTCCCCTCCTGCAGGCAGGGCCAGCCAGGCAGCTCTGGCACTGCAGTCCCCACACAGTGAATCACAGAATCATCACAGAGTGGTTTGGGTTGGAAGGGACCTTCAAGATCATCCAGTCCCACTCCCCCTGCATGGGCAGGGACACCTCCCACCAGCCCAGGTTGCTCCAAGCCCCATCCAACCTGCCCTTCAACACTGCCAGGGATGGGGCAGCCACAGCTTCCCTGGGCAACCTGGGCCAGGCTCTCACCACCCTCACACTCCACAATTCCCTCCTCATGTCTCACCTCAATCTCCCCTCTGCCAGTTTTCATCCATCCCCCTTGTCCTCTCCCTCCCTGCCCTTGTCCCAAGTCCCTCTCCAGCTTTCCTGGAGCCCCTTCAGGCACTGGAATGTGCTCTAAGGTCTCCCTGGAGCCTTCTCATTTCCTCCTCATGTCCAGCCTCAATCTCCCC